ATTTTAAAACGAAAAGGAACTTTGTCCTTAGAGCGCCATCAGAAAATAAAGATAACAGTGGTAAAAAGACAGATAAGGATTATTTAAGTAAAAAACTAGATAGATTAGAAGAGATTAGGAAAGAATTATTTAGAACAGTCGATGTGTTTAATAAGAGTAGGTAATCAAGCACCCGAGTCAATTTTAAAGGCCCAACGTTTAGTAGGTGAAATTAAAAATCTTCATAAAGCTACCCAAAAAATATTGCAGGATAGGTTAGCTACACTTGAGTCAAGCGAACATTCAGGAAACTTAGATTTAGGCAATTGTAATAGTTTAGGTACTTTAGAAACGATGGCGATAGAATTTGAACTAAAAACAGCTACGGCACTGTTACCTTTAATGGACGGTACCGAAAGTTGTACACGCCAATTAATTGATTCTACCAAATTATACAGCGACATGCTTACAGAAAATGGAAAATCGTTGTTGGTAAATTACATTTTAAAAACGCGATTATCACAATCAGTTAAAATGCGATTACAGACATCGGATTTGCTAATCGAGGACATGACCAAACATTTACTTACTAAAAAATCCGCGGCATCCCTTTCCAGCGAATTTATGTAAGGGTAAGGGTTAACCAAGACAGAAACTCAATAGAGAAATTTGGTAGTATAGAAGATGTTAAATTTAACCATCGCTCAAGCAGGCGGAAATGACGATTCAATTAAGGTTTTATCTAAAGTAAATGAAAAGTTAGCAAATAACGCATTTTATTATTTTATTTTATTATTAAGGCTAGAAATTACGAAACTTTAAAAGATGCAATTAACGGGGCGAAAGATGAGGAATTGAACGACAAAGAAGTAAACGCACATGCGACCTCACCTCATATCAAATAAGAGGTAACTTTAGACAAATCGTAGGTCATATTACCGAGGGCGCCAATACATCGGTAGATACAATGCAAATGCAGTAGGGAAAAATAAAAACTCATTCGACAACCAGCAGAAATCTTTTAATAATTATAATCCTAGTGGTTATCGGAATCATCAATTTCGAGGTTACCAGGGAAGTAGAGGTACTTTTTTCAATAAATGTAAACTAAATTACAGGGGCGCAGCGCGACAAAATTTTTACGTTAACGAAGGAAATGATTACGGCTCGCAATCTAAAGAATTTTTTCGAGACCCCCAGTAAAATTTCAAAAGAGAAAACTTTTAGTATGATCGGATTAAATTGTATAAATATTAAGTTAGGAACAGAAGAATTAAAACTTTTGTTAGATAGTGGATCCTCAGTCAGCATTATTTTTATTTCTACTATAAGAAAATTTTTTTCCGGGTCGATCGGAGACAATTTTTTTTCGGGGCTCAAAAAAAGGCAGTGTATAACCTTTTTTACCAAAAATTGACTACACCAAAATTTCTCGGGAAAACAATTTTTCTTATTAATTTTGGTGCGTAGAATCCAAAACAATTCGTACTTTTTCGATCGGACTTCTCAATCAAAAGTTATGGACTAGAAACAAATTTCGAAAGAAAATTCAAAGGGCTGTAACTTTTGAACTAGTAGCCCAATCTTGGAACTGTTTGAAATTATGGATTCTACAGGCCACATTCTATAAGAAAATTTTTTTCCCGGTCGATCTGAGACAATTTTTTTTCGGGGCTCAAAAAAAGGCAGTGTATAACCTTCCTTTTTTACCAAAAATCGACTGCATCAAAATTTCTCGGGAAAACACTTTTTCTTATTAATTTTGGTGCGTAGAATCCAAAACAATTCGTACTTTTTCGATTAGACTTCTCAATCAAAAGTTTTAGACTAGAAACCAATTTCGAAAAAAAATTCAAAGGGCTGTAACTTTTGAACTAGTAGCCCAATCTTGGAACTGTTTTAAATTATGGATTCTACAGGCCACATTCTATAAGAAAATTTTTTTTCCGGGTCGATCTGAGACAATTTTTTTTTCGGGCTCAAAAAAAGGCAGTGTATAACCTTCCTTTTTTACCAAAAATCGACTGCACCAAAATTTCTCGGGAAAACACTTTTTCTTATTAATTTTGGTGGGTAGAATCCAAAACAATTCGTACTTTTTCGATCAGACTTCTCAATCAAAAGTTATAGACTAGAAAACCAATTTCGAAAGAAAATTCAAAGGGCTGTAACTTTTGAACTAGTAGCCCAATCTTGGAACTGTTTGAAATTATGGATTCTACAGGCCACATAGTCCAGTAACTTTGTTCCTGAAAATGGGGGGTACCAAGCGTCAAATCCGGTAGTTCTGATTTTTTGTGGGATTGCTTATGTTGTTTAATTTTAATTTTCGAAGCATTTGTCAGGCGCAGTTTATTTTTCACACTTAGATTTATATCAAGGCTATTACCAATTAGAATTGGAAAGATTCTCTAGAAAATGCACAGCTTTTACAACGCCTAAAGGTCAATTTCAAATGACTAGAGCACCCATGGGGTTGAAAACTAGTCCAAGTTCTTTTTCACGTGCAATGACACTTGCAATGTCAGGATTAAATTATGATATTTGTTTTATTTATCTCGATGATTTAATTGTTTTTGGAAACAGTCTTGAAGCTCATAATGGAAATTTAATTAAAAGTATTACATAGGCTGCGAAAAGTTGAATTAAAATTAAACCCAAATAAATGCGAATTTCTAAAAAAGGATATTTTATATTTAGGGCATGTAATTTCTGCAGAAGGCATTTTACCGGACCCAGAGAAAATTAAAGCTATGCGTAACTACCCTGTTCCAACAAATGGAGCAGAAGTTAAGAGGTATGTGGCAATTTTCTAATATAATTCGTAATTTTAAAACGAAAAGGAGCTTTATCCTTAGTGTGTAATTAGAGGGTTGCTTATAGATCATTTATACAATCCCCGCCATCTAGGATTACACCGCTAAGTAGAGCAAATTTTATGTTTAAGTTTTGGCTCAATCAAATATCAAAATGTATCAAAAGTGTAAAATTATGATACATGAAAAAAATTGATTTTTTATTATAACTTTTTTATATTTAATAAGCTCAGAAAAAATTAGCTTTCTTGGGCCAAGTGACCACAATAATTCATTTTTTATTTTTCTGGAAATGCGCTAAAAAGAGGATTGTACTTCAACGTTTCCTTCAATAAACAAAGACCGTTTACGTACCATGTGGAAAAGTATCAGCTTCTCACACGCTAAATACTTTACGCACACTGTTTGAAAGTATATGTACCTATTTCATCAATAATTCGTGCTGTTTTCTGTTTTCCAAGTTAGATTAAAATGGTAAATTCAAAGTGAAAATTATTATAAATTTTGAAATTGACAGATTCGTATAGGTATACAAAATGTGGCAGATATTTAAAGGGCTGAAAAAGTTGTAGAAAATCTTTGTTAATAAATCAAGGATATTTAAAATACGTTTGTATTTTTCACAAATCGCTTCCGTGTCGTAGGTGTCTCGAATACAAAATGTGTTTTCTTTGTATAATTTTGGAGATCTCATTAAATATACACGTAAACTTAATCTCGCATCATCGAGGTCAATAATAACACTCACATTGGACATCTGTCCCCAAAACACACCTGAAATGGCTTTACACGTTTAATAATTTTAATTGCAGGTATTATGAATTAATAGAAATTAATTACTTAGTAGAAGAAGTAGTGACTAACGATTTGCGTATTTAATCAAATTGCATACAACTAATAAGGTCAAGAGTCGACCTTTCGAGGTCAGTTGATTTCTATACTGAAACAGTTGCAATTGATAACCATGACCATCTTGGGTTGAATGATCAATCATTGCCGCCTTGTTTACGGTATTTACATTAAGCTACGATCCACTGGCTTTCGTTGGTTTTAATGGAATTTGTGTACCTTTACGAACTGATGGTTTTCTAATTAGGTACCGTTACGTGATGTCGAAATATTCCGCGTTATTTGTTTATTTAAAGTCATAGCACGAAATATATACAAAATCACCCGCCCTCCGCCACAAACCCAATGGTGCCTATCTGAAAAGAGGAGATTCATGTGCTCATTAGTTGAGCATGTCTTTACCACCCTCCAAATAGTTTAACTCCACAGAATCAAAATTTTGAGAGCATACTGATTTTCCCAAACTCCTCCGGTAAATACCCTACGGGTAGTGATAAAATTACCTGATTTTTAACTAATCTGATGAATAATTTATTGGGGGCTTAAAATTCTTCCCACAATTTCTCCATTAAAATGCTTATTTGGCGAAAGCTGATTGAGATCGCACGATAGAAATTTGATTTATCTCTCTTACAGGTAAATTAAATTCAAAAAGTACCGCACCTTGCTAATTATGTAGGTATCGTACTTCAGTAGGCTACCGGAAAATTGAGAAAGTTAATTTACCGGTCGAAATTATGCTAATTGATTTAATGATGAAAATTCGTTCCGAAATATATGCACAATATTCGTCGTGCTCGTCGTTCATCTTGGATACATACTTTATACTTTGTAATTTTCGCGAGAGATGTGCATTGGTTTTCCAGGTGAAGTATGAGTGTACTTCATAAACTTCTACTGAGAGACGGTTTCGTCAAAATAATCAGGGAAACTGAAAAGCACTTCAATTTATCTAGAGACAACACGACCATAAAAAGAGGTCTCAAGTGACAATGCTAATAATTTTCTGGGAAAAGTGTCATTGTTTAAAGGCCAGATGAGCGTTTACTGCCCGAAATACAAGATTAATCAAATGTATTATCGATCATAATCGTGCAGAAAACAAAGGTAAAAAGAAATTTGGGTCAAATAGTCGCGAATATAAGGATGTGTGGTTAAAATTTGCCAAACAATTATACCAATTTCGATACTCAAAAAGCTACTTCCGCGCAGATTGCAGTTAATATGCTGTGTAGGGTCTTATATCTGAATTATATCTCCTACAAAAGATTTGCACTCGATTATATTCGAACAAACAACATCCTCCCCGGTGCATATAAAAGAGCGAAAAATCTCAATGGTCGGCAGAGATTCAAAAATCAGCAATGTTGAAGTATTTCATGTTCGCCCTCCTTACCTTCTTGGTATTGGTCAACAATGGTATGTAAGAAACTTTTTTAACAATATTTTATGGTTTAATTTACATAGGTCTCTGTGGCGAAGGTGCATTCGAAGAATGCGTTAACTATCACAACTGCGCCTCGAAGCATGGAAGTCAACAAGACAGTTGCTACGATATGTGCAGTTCAAATTTGTAGTAACGGAACTGCCCGTTAAAGATGACGTTTCTTGTTCAAAATATAACTTGAGCAATAAATAATTTAAAAATGATCTTTGCGTTACTATGACTTTGTTGCGTCTAACGATAATCCATTCGCCCTCGTGCCGGTTCCCAAGACGATAGGGGTATTCAGTTTCCATTGTGTGCTCTTTAATAGCTTTTAAACTGCGCATGGCTACATCTTCTCCCTATCAAGGGGTATGCTTGCCGGCCCCCCCGAACGCTTTCTTTACCAGTTAAATATCCATTCCTTAAGAACAACATAAACAATCAGGCATGCTAGAAACGTAAATTTTTCGCTTTACGTTTATGTGTTTAAAATCTTAAACTAGCGACTCTGTTTTGTTTAAAAAAAACGGGTTTATTCGGAAAAAGGGTACGTTACTGATTTAGTAGGGACTAGAGTCGAACATAAATGGCATAAAAAACTTTCGTCGAAGTTACAAAGCGCGTACGCATTCGTTATTTCTATTTTAAAATTCCAGTTAAAGTTAAAGATTCGTACTGCTTAATTATTAATTAAAAAGTATTTATAAAGTGGATCATTTCAGACCTACACACCTAAACTAATACTCAGAGGAAAGAAATATTGACTTAGTTTTTTAGTTGCCTTAAGAAGGCAGTAAAAAAACATCTAGACCTAGAATTTTAAATAGCACCCTGTATATGTTTTACAATTTCTTGTTGGGACTAAAATTAAATATTAAACAAATATGTTTTTGAAATCGTATCATAAATAGCGAAGTTACAGGCAGACAACTGCTTTATTCACTCACACTCGAACTAACTGTTTCCTGAAAACGGACAAACCGTTTTTAAAATGTTCCACAAACTTTTACTACTTCACTTGACGATCACCTAAATCTTTTCTAAAGATTCTTCTACACACTTTATTTCGAAACCGACCAGCAGTAGCCTTGTTTTTACGGTGATTCCTGTATTTAAGGGAACACCACTTCTGTATGCTACTAAAATAATCTCCCCCTTCAGGATTTCCAAAAGTGCAGCCAATCACAGTTAGACTTGATAACGCCAGCTTCGAAGGAACGCGTCCCTACTTACGCCAAAATAACGCGCACATGCATCTTCTAACAGCGATAAGAAGACGTGCGTTAATTAAATTTCGTCCGATAATACTACTTATCGCAAACTATCCGATAAAAGTACGCAAACTTGACCAGTTGTGTCTAACTGAAAGCATCTTATCTAAAACTCCAAAAGGAAATACAACACAAGCACAAATTCAAATACAATGAACCAACTCTGTGCTTATTCGTCAATAATCCCTCAGATTTACACTTAATAAAATTGAAATATTTTCATATACAGGATGTCCCGTAATTATTTTCAGTGTTTAGGCGGAAATAACTTCTACATGACTTTGTTCAAACAACAATATCCATGCCTACTGTGTGAAGAGTACAAAACTACCTATTATTTCTAACAACAAAAATTTGTTGATAAAGAAAGCGATTAATTACATACGCTCATACCTGGTCCACATTATTTAGCTGTTACTGAATATTGAAAGAAACCCCGGTGTTTTTTTGATATTCTTTGTGTTATGCATTTTCTTACATATGAAATGTAAAAGGAGCATTATCCTTAGAGTGCAATTGTAGGGTTGCTTATGGACAATTTATACATAATCAATTAACGGAACCCAAATATTTGATGTACTACAAAAATTACAACCCCCGCAATCGAAGATTACTATACATATGTATATGTCTGAATTTTCTAAAAAAATTCGTAATTTTAAAACGAAAAGGAACATTATCCTTAGAGTGCAATTGTAGGGTTGCTTATGGACAATTTATACATAATCAATTAACAGAAACCAAATATTTGATGTACTACATAAATTACAACCCCCACAATCCAGGATTACTATAAATATATGTCTGAATTTTCTAAAAAAATTCGTAATTTTAAAACGAAAAGGAGCATTATCCTTAGAGTGCAATTGCAGGGTTGCTTATGGATAATTTATACATAATCAATTAACGAAACCCAAATATTTGATGTACTACAAAAATTACAACCCCCGCAATCGAAGATTACTATACATATATGTCTGAATTTTTTAAAAAAATTTGTAATTTTAAAACGAAAAGGAGCATTATCCTTAGAGTGCAATTGGAGGGTTGCTTATGGATAATTTATACATAATCAATTAACGGAACCCAAATATTTGATGTACTACATAAATTACAACCCCCGCAATCGAATATTACTATACATATATGTCTGAATTTTCTAAAAAAATTCGTAATTTTAAATCGAAAAGGACATTATCCTTAGAGTGCAATTGGAGGGTTGCTTATGGATAATTTAGACATAATCAATTAACAAAACCCAAATATTTAATGTACTACATAAATTACAACCCCCACAATCCCGGATTACTATAAATATAAGTCTGAATTTTCTAAAAAAATTCGTAATTTTAAAACGAAAAGGAACATTATCCTTAGAGTGCAATTGTAGGGTTGCTTATGGACAATTTATACATAATCAATTAACGGAACCCAAATATTTGATGTACTACATACAAAAATTACAACCCCCACAATCCAGGATTACTATAAATATGTCTGAATTTTCTAAAAAAATTTGTAATTTTAAATCGAAAAGGAGCATTATCCTTAGAGTGCAATTGGAGGGTTGCTTATGGATAATTTATACATAATCAATTAACGGAACCCAAATATTTGATGTACTACATAAATTACAACCCCCGCAATCGAATATTACTATACATATATGTCTGAATTTTCTAAAAAAATTCGTAATTTTAAAACGAAAAGGAACATTATCCTTAGAGTGCAATTGGAGGGTTGCTTATGGATAATTTATACATAATCAATTAACAAAACCCAAATATTTGGTGCACTACAAAAATTACAACCCCCGCAATCGAAGATTACAATACATATAATCTGAATCTGAATTTTCTAAAAAAATTCGTAATTTTAAAACGAAAAGAAACATTATCCTTAGAGTGCAATTGTAGGGTTGCTTATGGACAATTTATACATAATCAATTAACGGAACCCAAATATTTGATGTACTACAAAAATTACAACCCCCGCAATCGAATATTACTATACATATATGTCTGAATTTTCTAAAAAAATTCGTAATTTTAAAACGAAAAGGAGCATTATCCTTAGAGTGCAATTGGAGGGTTGCTTATGGATAATTTATACATAATCAATTAACGGAACCCAAATATTTGATGTACTACATAAATTACAACCCCCACAATCCAGGATTACTATAAATATGTCTGAATTTTCTAAAAAAACTCGTAATTTTAAAACGAAAAGGAACATTATCCTTAGAGTGCAATTGTAGGGTTGCTTATGGACAATTTATACATAATCAATTAACAGAAACCAAATATTTGATGTACTACATAAATTACAACCCCCACAATCCAGGATTACTATAAATATAAGTCTGAATTTTCTAAAAAAATTCGTAATTTTAAAACGAAAAGGAGCATTATCCTTAGAGTGCAATTGCAGGGTTGCTTATGGATAATTTATACATAATCAATTAACGAAACCCAAATATTTGATGTACTACAAAAATTACAACCCCCGCAATCGAAGATTACTATACATATATGTCTGAATTTTTTAAAAAAATTTGTAATTTTAAAACGAAAAGGAGCATTATCCTTAGAGTGCAATTGGAGGGTTGCTTATGGATAATTTATACATAATCAATTAACGAAACCCAAATATTTGATGTACTACATAAATCACAACCCCCACAATCCCGGATTACTATAAATATGTCTGAATTTTCTAAAAAAATTCGTAATTTTAAAACGAAAAGGAACATTATCCTTAGAGTGCAATTGGAGGGTTGCTTATGGATAATTTATACATATTCAATTAACAAAACCCAAATATTTGATGTACTACAAAAATTACAACCCCCGCAATCGAAGATTACTATACATATTTGTCTGAATTTTCTAAAAAAATTCGTAATTTTAAAGCGAAAAGGAACATTAAGCTTAGAGTGCAATTGTAGGGTTGCTTATGGACAATTTATACATAATCAATTAACGGAACCCAAATATTTGATGTACTACATAAATTACAACCCCCACAATCCAGGATTACTATAAATATAAGTCTGAATTTTCTAAAAAAATTCGTAATTTTATAACGAAAAGGAACATTATCCTTAGAGCGCAATTGTAAAGTTGCTTATGGATAATTTATACATAATCAATTAACGAAACCCAAATATTTGATGTACTACAAAAATTACAACCCCCGCAATCGAATATTACTATACATATATGTCTGAATTTTACCAACCAACCAATGGTTTAGCGCTACTCAATTTCTATCTTAACTCACTCGTATGAAATGAGAAGATACTAGGGTAGTAAAAACAGTACAAATCAATGGCCGCTCGTTATCAACAGGTCGAAGATATGTCAAAGGTAAATTTAACCCAAAGTTACATACTCGTACGTCAACAGAATTGTAGGTAAAGCGTCTCTGAAACTTAAACTGGTCCTTACAGTTGAATTAAATTTGAATTTGATCTAACATTCAAACATTGAAACCCTAAAGGAAATCAAAAATAAACCCTCTTCGTTGATGTCACAAAGTGTGCATGCCTCTTAAATAAGAGGGCTAATTATAGATGAAGCAACAATTGTCAATGGAAAATTGTCGTATAACAAAGAAAAGGTACACTACAATTACGCGATATGCAAATGGTACTTACGATAAAGAAGAAATAAACGCAAATTTAAATTCCTCACTATCAAGTTAAAGGAGAATCCGTTCACTAATTTAATGAATCCAACTGCTAGGGATTAATAAATATTGATGTAGGCAATTAAAATTCCATGCGTTCTAACACACATTTTTTTTGTTAGCGCGAATTACTACATAGTGTTCTCTTTACCATTTCAATTTTTTTGAGGAGCTGAGTGTTCACTCAACCCCCTAAAAGTAAAAAGTCACAAACCATAAATTCAAATAGAGCACAATTTAGACACAGTAGATGCATG